GGGGCAGCTGCCCCCAGGCCCGGCGATTTCAAAGGGCCTGGGGCTCCCGCCTGCTGCTGCAGTGGCCAAGGGGCCTCGGCCCTTCAAATCGCCGCGGGAGTCCCAGGGCTTCGGCCATGAAGGGCTGGCTGGGGGAGTCTGCCCCAGCCCTGCCCCTCCTGAGGGCCCAGAGCCGCCCCCCCTTCCTCCGCAGCAGGGGGCCCGGGTCACTGGCAGGTTTGAACTTGTGTCCGTGGTGGAGTCTCTCCGCGATCTGGAGCCGTCAGTGACTCAGCCGGAGGTCGGGGTCTGGTACCGGGGCGGGGGGGAGGTTCTGGGGCCTGCGAGGTGCCGGGGGTCAGATTAACTGATCACAATGGGCCCCTCTGACGTCCGGGGGCGTCTCTGAATACGAACAGACGTGACGATTGTAACCCAACCGTGTCCCCGAGTGACGCGCCCCGGGCTGTCAGAACAGGTTCAGATTAAATAAATAAAAATAAATAAATAAATAAAATAAATTGGAGCCGGGCGGGGCTAAGGGTTCGGTCATTAGACACTGGCTCCGCCAGCGATGTTGCCTAAGTAGCCCCTGGACTCACGGTTAAATTTGTGCCCCCTCTCCGTCTGAAATAGCCCCACTGTAGACAGGCCCCATTGATCTGGCTGGAGCCACCTCCCCAGATACAGAAATCAAACTACACCGCTGTGGGCTGGGGGAGCCGGTGGGGTCACCCCGGGTCGGCACCGGGGGAGGTGGGGGAGGTCTGACCCGGCTGCCCTAACACCTCCCCCCAACCTCTGAATGCTAACCCGGCCTCCTTCACTGTGCCCCTAACCCCATAGCTAAACCCCTGCCCCATAGCCCTAACCCCACAACTCTACCTGCTGTCCCTGTAACTCTACTCTCACCCCTTAGCCCTAACCCATAACTCTACCCCAGAACCCCAGCTGGGGGTCTGCAGTGATGCCCAGGAGCGCCAGGGCTTGTCTGCCCCAGGGTGAGGTGCCGCGGGCGATGCTGGGGTCTGTACGCTGCACGGGGGGTGGGTGCAAGGGTCTCCCACAGTTTGGGGGGCCTGGCCCTTGTTTCATTGCCCCCCTGTGACGAAGTGGGACTGTTCTTAATGTTTCCTCTGAATACTGTGTGGGTGCCTCAGTTTCCCCTATGCATTTTTTAAGTCTCTAGGTGATGGGATAAAGGCCAGTGTGCATCAATCACTGACACTCTAGCTAAAGGTGAACAGAGAGGTCAGGTGACCTCCTGGCCCAGGAAAGAGACAAAGGCCAGAGAGGAGGGGCTGGAGGGTTTCAGTTTGGAGCTGGCTGGGAACGGGAAGCGAGGGCAGACGTGGGTGTCTGGCCCGCTGGGCCCCAGGATGGACCCGGCCGAGGGGTCCAGTTCTCTGGACCTACAAGCTCTGTTTTAGGCCATGTTCCTGTCATCGAATAAACCTCTGTTTTACTGGCTGGCTGAGTCTCACGTCTGACTGCGAAGTGGGGGTGCAGGATCCTCTGCCCCCCCCAGGACCCGCCAGGGCGGACTCGCTGTGGGAAGCGCACGGAGGGGCATATGCTGAATGCTCCCAGGAGAGACCCAGGAGGTGAAGCCGTGTGAGCTCCTTGCCCTGAAGACTGTCTGCTCCGAGGGAGAGGAGGCTCCCCAGAGTCCTGACTGGCTTTGTGGGGAGCAGTTCCAGAGCATCGCCCGGGGACTCCGGGACACCCCCCATGTCTCACCCCACCTCCCCGCTCTGTGTCCCGCAGGCCGCCCCCCCAGCGCGATGGAGATCCCCATGCCGGCCCCCATCTGCCTGATCGAGAACAGCCCGGCGGGGGAGCTCCAGGTGCAGCAGGAGGCTCTGAAGGTGCTGGCGGAGATCTCCCAGCCCGTGGTGGTGGTGGCCATCGCCGGGCTGTACCGCACCGGCAAGTCCTACCTCATGAACAAACTGGCCAGCAAGAGAACGGGTGAGAGGCGTGAGCTCTGCCCCCGGGCGCCAGGACTCCTGGGTACTCTCAATGGTCCTGGCAGGGGAGTGGGGTCTAGTGGGTCAGAGCAGGGGTGGGTGGGAGCCAGGACTCCTGGGTTCCCTCGCTCTGTGACTGTCCCAGCTCCGCCCCTCTCTCCCCAGGGTTCTCGCTGGGCTCCACCATCCAGTCGCACACCAAGGGCATCTGGATGTGGTGCCTGCCCCACCCCCGCAGGGCCGGCCACACCCTGGTGCTGCTGGACACCGAGGGGCTGGGTGATGTGGAGAAGGTGAGTGCTGGGGGGCAGCGTATGAGAATCAGCCAATTTGCAGAGCAGGATGGAATGCCCCTTGGGATGGAACACCCCTTGCAGTTTCCAGGGGCTTCTGGGACTTGTAGTTCCCAGGGGATGCTGGGCATTGTAATTTATGGCAAGGCATGCTGGGAAAGGGGATGGGGTATTTAAGGAGCTCCCGCTGCTAAGGGACAGACTCAGTGAGCCCCATGTAGGGGAAGGAGGGGCTGTCTGATGTGGGGCTGATGCCCTCTGAGGGGGGCAGTGCCAACGCCGGGATGGCTGGGGATGCCGTGGCGGGCCTGGAACGGGACGCCCAGGGGCGCGGCTGGAAACGCTTGTCCTGCCCAGGGAGAACTGTTGAAATATTGAAAATGTTCCCTGTCCCGAATCATGATGAAAAGTCAAAATTGGGGGGGAGGGAAAGTGTCATGGCTTGAAAATCATAAACGTGTCTGGGTCCAGGTCACGCAAAAAACTTGGATAATTTTCAGACATTTCATTTTGGTTGTCTACTTTTTTTTTCTTTCTTAATTTGGTCCAAATTTACCAGAACATTAGCAATGAGATGTGATTTTTACCTTGAGAAATGGAAAGTTTCCGGTTAGACAAACAGTCAGTTGGGCCATTTCTACAATTCTGAAACTTTTTTCCCAATAATTTTTCAAGTTGGGAAATTTGCCTGAAGCGACCCTGTTTTGCTTGTGATTTTGGTATCAATGATTCAGTGTTCTCCAGTGCCAATTTCCCGACTCGCTGTAGTGATGGGGGCAGGGCTGGCATTCCGGAGAGCCGGGTTCATATCCCTGCTCCACAGATCCCCGGTGTGAGCTGGGACTCAGTTTCCCCACCCCGGCTGCCAGAGGAAGTGTGACGATAAATACATTCGCTCTGGAGGTGGGGCTCAGACACAACCGATAAGCTGGAAGGGCCGGTAACGCCAGCCAACAAAAGGCAAAATAAAGTTGGGACCCGAAAAATGCATGAGAGCAGCTGGAAACCCCGCGCCCTGCAGTGGGGGCTGCTGCATCTGAACCCCATGGGGCGGGGAGGTGTCGCCTTCCCAAAGCTTTAATGCAGCCATATGGGTTGGAAACTTACTTCAGTAAAAGGGGAGCAACGAGCGCTCCCGCCCCCTCCCGTGCCTCCGGGAGCTGGGGATTTCACGGGGTGTGTGGGGGGAAATACCCCAACCCCAAAGAGTGACTCTCTGTGACAATGGTGCCCGTGGGAGCCAGCTGAGGTCACTCAATCAGGGTGAACTGCAAACAGAACGGGGCAGAGAAACCCCAAAGCTGGTGGATATTTCAATATTTAGATTTACCAAAACAGCTTCTGTATTACCTCCCTGGTTGCTCAGAAGTCTGAACAACGCAGTTCCCTTAAAGTGCCGGCCTCAGGCCCCCATCCAGGTACCCACGTCAAAACATGATGATTTCTGAAACTCTTATTTCATCATATAAAAGAAAAGGTTCTACCAATCCCCAAGGACCAGCCACGTGCCCAGGTCAATGTATAACCTAGATCTTACCCCAAAATCCCGCTTAGAGCCAATCCTTGTGAACTAAACTAAAATGTATTAAAAAACAGAAGAGAGAGAGTGTTGGTTAAAAGATCAATGTACAGACAGACGTGAATTCAATGCTTGAGGTTCAGACACAGCAGAGATGAGCCTGTCGTTGCCAAAAGTCCTTTTAGAAATAGTCCAGAGGTTACAGTCCCATGTCCATGCTTAGGGTGGCTCCAGTCAGTGACTGGATCTCAATCCTTATAGCTCAGGCTTCCCCTGCATGAACCTTAAGCAGACCTGCGATAAACAGGATCAGTTCCACCTCCAGCAGCCTCTTGGCCATTCAGTCCTGGGTGAACAATAGACTTCTGAGCTAACCCCTTGTCTTCCCAGTATCCTGGTCATTAACACAAGGGCATTTGGCCATTCAGCAGTTCATAGACAGTTTACCACAGACTTTAAAGAGACACATAAACAATGCCACTACTTCAAGGTTCTCCTAAAAGTCAGCCTTCCCTTTTGATCTGTGCAGCGATGGCGCGGGGAATAGACAGGAGCTGGCTGGTTACAGGGTTAGCATCTAATAGATAGAAGTAAACGGATCGAGCGAGTAATTACCTCCAATTTCTAACAATCCACCTTTGCACTTCGAAGTTCTATCCTCACTAGCATTGAATGCTCCTAATGATCATTTGCAACCTGTCCTCACCTGCCTCTCCAGGTTACTCTGGGTCAGCTGGCCTGCGGGATGCGTAACCCTTTCTGGCTGTGGGCCACACTTCAATGAGATGTTCTGTTATAATCAGATAATGTCATACGCTCCGAGCTCCAGGAACGGGAATTCACTGTGGCCTGGGGTGGGACTCTGGAGAGCTGGGGGGCGGATCCCCTGGCCAACCCTCCCCCGTGCCTCAGTTTCCCCATCTGTGCCGTGGGGTTGGCGATCCTGCCATGCTCTGTGATGGGCTGTGAGCTCTGCGGCTGGGACGCGCTCGGGACGGTGACGGTGGGTGTCGTTCCAGGGCGACGCGAAGAACGACACGTGGATCTTCGCGCTGGCCGTGCTTCTCAGCAGCACCCTGGTCTACAACAGCCTGGGCACCATCAACCAGCAGGCCATGGACCAGCTGCAGTATCCTCACCTGCGGGCCGGGGAGCCGGGTCTGGGGGCTTGGGGGGCCCCATATCCCCAGGGAAGGGCCTCGCGGTTCCCTCCAAACGCTTCACCCCCAGTGAAATCGTGACCCTCAGCGCGGGTTGTGCACCACGGCCCCCTCTAGAGGCCGCTCTGCATGATGGGATAACAACCCACTACTGCCACCAGCTAGCAGAGTTGCTCCTTCAGCTCCAGTGCTGTAGGGGGCTGCTCTGGACCCTGGAGGTGGTGGGTTTGACCCCTGCTTCTGAGGGTTGTGATGGACTATCCTTCCCTTCCCCTTGTTCATTCTGAGCCCCTGTCGCAGGCGGGGAGGGGAGGCTCTGAGGGAGCAGGACCCCCTCTTTCAGGGGGCGCCACACTTCTGGTTCCTTAGCCAGCCTCCAGCTATGTGACAGAGCTGACGGAGCGCATCAAGGTGAAGGCGGCGGGCAGGGGCAGCCGACAGGAGGGGGAGGATTCGGCCGAGTTCGTGCGGTTCTTCCCGGCCTTCGTGTGGGCCGTGCGGGATTTCACGCTGCAGCTGGAGCTGGACGGGCAGAAGATCACCGAGGACGAGTACCTGGAGAATGGCCTGAAACTAAAGCCAGGTAGGGGAGCGGTGCTGGCCCCAGGGTGGCACTAGGGGGCGCTGTGCTTGCAGACGGGGTGACTTTTGCTCAAGACACAAACCCAAGCTGTTGACACCTTGCGGGGGTTACCGGTCCCTGGGAGTTGGGGCGTTTGCTGTCCCGGCCATGTTCCAGCTGGGATGGTTCCCCGGCTCCCCTCAATCCCCTGTGGATATCGGGGTCTCTTCCCCCCAGGGGAATCTGTTCAACAGTCGCCATGCTGCCCCCCAGAAGCAGCCGCATGTTGGCACAGGGCTGCTTTCCAGCTCCCGTCTCCTTCCCAGGCAGCAGCCAGCGAGCCCAGCTCTACAACCTGCCCCGCGAGTGCATCCGCCAGTTCTTCCCAGCCCGGAAATGCTTCGTCTTCGTCCAGCCGGCCGGCAGGAGGGACCTGGCCCGGCTGGAGGAGCTGCGGGAGGACGAGCTGGAGCCCGAGTTCCGGGAGCAGGTGGCCCAGTTCTGCCGCCACGTCTGGGAGATGTCGAAGCCTAAGACCATCCCGGGCGGCCACGTGGTGACCGGGGCCAGTGAGTGTCGGTAGCCCTTGGGCCGGGGGACACTGGGGCCAACGTGGCTCATGGGGTGCTGGGCGGGATGAACTGAGCTGCGAGGGGGTCCCTTGTGGCCAGCACTGGTGGGGTCAGCGCTGGAGCCTGCGCCCAGCTCTGGGGTGCGCGGTTAGAAGGGGGGCTGGAAAATCACGAGGGGTGGAATAAAGCCCGACAGCAGATCTGGTCAGTGGATCCCAGGGGAGATGAGGAGAGGCCTAGATAGCAGGGCAGGTGCGTCTCCCCGGGGAGGGATGCCCGTGTCCCGAAGGGCCATTGCTGGGGCCCTACCAATTGCACAACCATGAAAAATGTGCCCCGGACTGTGAAATAAGCCCTTCCCCGTGAAATCTGATGTCCCCTTGTTCCTAGGAGCACCCCAGCAAAGAGCCCCCCGTGCTCCGGCAGGGCAGGGGGGGCAGGACTTGTCTATCTCCTGCGCAGCTGCTGGGGGGGATCAGACCCACATCCACCTCCAGGAACCTCCTGCGGCTGCTGCCTTCAGAGTCCAGCTCTGACCCCCGCACAGTCCCGTTTTGGGTCAGGACCCCCCGTGACAAATCTGAAATTTCAGATTTAATCATCTGAAAACGTGAAATTGACCAGTTTTCAAATCCTATGGCTGTGAAATTGACCGTGAATTTGGTAGGGCCCTGAGCCATTTCTCTGCAGAGAGAGGCAGAGCAGGGCCCCACGCCTGGGGAAACGAGGCACCAATTGCTCATGGAGAGGGGGTTTTAGGGTGCATCCGGGGTGGGGAAGGGGGCACATCCTAGGCTCGGTGTCTGTCCTACAAGGAGGGGCAGGGAGCAGGTGGAGTCCTGGAGAGTGTGGGAGGGGCTGTGCTGGGTCCCCTGGCGCTGACCCTGCCCCCTCCGGCCGCGCTGGGGAACCTGGCGCTGACCCTGCCCCTCCGGCCGCGCT